GAGAAAGTCGGAAGAGAGCTCAATACACATGTCCCCGCGCCTCTGAGCGGCAGCTTAGTGGTAGCCGTGCCCCGAACCCCGAGAGGCTGGGCCCTGAGAAAGAGCGGCATCTAGGGGAGCGGGAAACTGGCAGCGTGTCAGAGCCACACCGAGCATCCCACAGAGGCAGGACCTCATCCAAGGCCTGCAGACGTCCGCGTGATGGGGACCCCAACTGGCCACCAGAGCTCGGTCCAGCCAGGCCGATACTCCACCCACATTTCATCACCAGGAGAAAGGTAGAAACTGACCTCTCTCAAGTCCACGGAATTCACCTCGCCTTATAGAAGGGCTCCTGCCTCGGGGAAAGCTGAGCAGTGGGGAGAATCACACATTCCCGGGAACCAGAACGCTGGTGGAGCAGCTTCTGGGCCCGAAGGAGTGGAGGGGAGCGAGGCAGATCCATGCTGGGGCTCAGGCCTATGCCGAGGCTGAGACCTTGCAGGCCACCAACCTCCCCCTGCTAACAATCTTCGTTGGGAACCACATCGAGCTCCGTGGCACCTGCTGGACCCAGCATATGCTTGAAAGAGCTGAGGGCAGGCGGGGCGGATTGATGCATCGCAGGTGTAGCCGCGCTACTGCAGAAGTCAGGCCACCAGTGAACGTGTGAAGGCCGCACCGCCAGAGGCCAGGGAAACAGGAGCAGAGGCCGGAAGGAGCAGCCAAGCAATACATACCACCACCAACAACAATGATAACAATAACTATAACTCTATTCCTTTGTCTGGGACATTACAAGTGAAAAAGTGCTTCCTGCATCCTGTCCCTCGGTAGTTCCTTGAGGCCACCTTTTAGCTGGGTGGACATGACCTCCATTTTGCAGGTGGGGAAACTGAGGCTCAAAGACTTGCCCAATGTGACTTGCCCAAAGTCACTGGCCATTAAGAGGCCAAGTCAGAGTCATTCAAAGATTAGAAGCATATTTTAGGATTTGAGGCAGCAGGGTGAATTGTCCTTCAGCTTCAGAGGTAGCATTCTCCAAGTTTGGTTTCAGGGTGGTTGGATCACGAGAGGGTGGGTGTGCTTTGAAAACCATTAAGCACTGTGCAGCTGGTGTGGACTTATTATTATTGTTGCCATGATTATTATTAT